GTGGGTGTAAAAAGCATTTATGCTCTGAAGAGAAGCATACTGAAATGTGGACAGTAAATGATTTTCCCAAAAGCAGATATGTCTCTTAAACGATGGTGCTCAATGAACAGTTTTTTTAAAGACCTATTAGGGTAATAAATTAAGTCATGTGTTTATAAATAAAGGTCGTAGCTAGTAGGTGATGAATAATAATAATCAACTTATAGACATGTTTATTAACTGTTTACATAAAATTGAAGTGTCATCAGGTGGGCTGATGTGTGCAAGTTTTCTCAGAGTTTTTATACCGTAAACCCAATAAAAATTGATAAAAAAAATGGGTAAAATTAAGTTGTACAAACTTATGGAACTTGAAGAAGAAATAATGTTCGACTCTATAAGGTATATATATTCTGGATTTGAAACCTACAGACTTCAAATTTGGAATAGATGTTCTTAAATAACTGCTTGAACACTGGTACACACACATACATAGACCTAAGTTACGGCATCGGCCATTATAATGTTCCCCTACGAAGTTTTCGTTCTGTAATGGTCTTTTCGGGACAATTAATTTCAGATCCGGAATTTGGGTTTTGATGGAATTTTAATTTAAAACATACGGTCCCTGTTCCGCTTCCAATTCTGGTTTGACACACTGAAAATATTAATCTGCAGTGAGTTAAAAGATAATATTAACCTGGAGTGAGTTAAAAAATTATTCCGCTATTCAATATCTTATTTGTATACTTATGTCAGCAGATTTATGGTTTTCACAAGTAACGCTAATAGACTTGAAATCTTAATAAATATAATTTAAACAACAAACGGGCAAAAAAATATTGAACTGAAGTAAATATAGCAAACTGGATACCGGAAACTATCGGCAAACAATAAAAATCAAGAATTGTAGACGAAATAGATTATACACAATAAGTAGTCCGACATTGAAATGTAAGAAATACTTTACCACACATTGCTGGTGCGATGGCTCGAGATTGCTTTCCTATATAGTATATAATTTAGCTAAATCAGTAGTCTAATTTTAATAATTTATGTCAGAATTCTAGGAGAATAAATCTTGGTAAAAAAATGTTTGTCTTAATTTTCATAATGATAAACTATACAAATAAAACATGCATTTTCACCTTGAGATTTTATTTAGGAACATGGAAAGAAGCCGCTGTGGCTTGCTTAAGATAGTCTATCTCACAACTCATTTGATTTAATAGCCTATAGTTAAAAACGTGATTGGAGGGTTATGAATAGTTATATTCTCTTTCACTATTTATCTTTTCTTCCTTTCTCTCTCTCCCTCTCTTATCTTTTTATTTTCGTTATTACTATATATACTCACGGCGAGATCTACCGTATTATTGAGATATACCAGACGCATTCAGAGTATTTTCTAATAATAAACAATTTTAATATGCATTAAACACAAGCCACACTGTTAACCTTTTAAATCATTTCGCAGAAGCAAGTTAAAAGCAAAAATATGTATTACTATCATAAGAGCTGGAAAGGTAATACGTTCACAGCCGACTCCTTTTAGGACGAAAGTGATCAGAGGAGAAAATTCGACCTTAAAGAAAGAAATATTCGAGAAACCTTTTTGACAATTGTTTTTTTTTTTTTTTTGTTGGAAGCTGCTTCAAATCTATTTTAAACGATTTGTGTAAGAAATTATTTAAAAAAGCATTCAATTTTGTAAATAGCTGTTGAAGATTGTACATTGAAAGTTGAATTTTCATGCCATAATACATTTTTGCACAGCGGTACTTGTGCAACTGATAATATTAAATTTTTAATTTATTTTATTGATTTACTTCGATTATTTTAGGATGCAAAGTGTGTATACATATATGCAAGTGTAATTAACCATTAATAATAATTATATAAATAATGGCTAAATCAATTGTAAGAAAACTTTTCCACGTGCACTCAGCTAGAGCCAGATTTTACAGCTCTTTGTATCTTTCTTTTATTGGAAATTAGTTTGATTCACCAGTGTCAGGGGCACTAATGTCGCTAACTGAGGCAGTGATGAGGACAAAATTCAAACATGTCGAACACGTTGCAATCTCTATGCAAATTTGCAACCGGGTTTGAGGAGAGCAAGCAAAAGACGGCATTCTTATCTTTGAAGAAGCTCCAGCCAAGCAGTCTCTGCGCCTATAAATTGCTGCGCCCCATTGCACAATTACTGCAGTCTTCCTGCAAGGGTTATTCAGTGCAAATCGTCAGAAATTAACTTTAACTTCTACATACACATCAATGCAGAAAATGTGTATCTTAAGCCGTCGGGGACTTGTAATCTTGCTGCAGTTCTTACTGTTGGCAGCCAAACAGGCGAGTGGACAATTCAACTACGACCAACAAGGCAGGGATTGGGAGGGAACATGCGCAACTGGCCGAAGTCAATCTCCAATTAGATTGGCGGACAATACTGTGAGTAGCATAAGCCTTCACAACTCTGGACGATTTTTAGAAAATTTACCTTTTCACAGGCTATTCGCAAACCCATTCCGCAAATTCGATTCACGAACTACAATCGGGCCTTGCAGTCACCGCTGATGATGACAAACAATGGACATACAGGTATGCAGTAATTTTGATTTATCTGTGCCTTAATTACAGTATTAAAGTGTACTTCAGCGAACATTGTTTTGCCGCCCACAAATAACGGACAGCGTGCTTTAATCGAGGGCGGCCTGTTGCCAGGCACCTTTGAAGCGCAGACCGTGCACTTCCATTGGGGCTCGGAAAACAGTCATGGATCCGAGCATCTCATCAATGGTCAACGCTACGACGTCGAAATGCACATTGTTCATAAGAATGTTCGTTATGCCACGGTAGCCGAAGCAAGTTTGCGTTCGGATGGTCTTGCCGTTTTGGGTGTCATGCTTCAGGCTGTACCTTCACTGATCTCGACGCATTTTGGCCTTAACCGAATCTTAGATCGATTGCCTCAAGTTATTGAATCCTAATCAAGTACAACGATAGCTGGCCGATTAACGATGAACGATCTATTGGGAGACATTTCTCCAGGAAGGTTTTGCTCATATAATGTCGTACATTCAACTAAGATTTTTTTACTCCCCTATTATGCACATATATTTATATATTTTTATATTGAAACAGGCTCTACTGACTACATACAATGTCTCGCCGAATCTGTTACTTGGACTGTGTTCTCGGACT